ATGCTGATTGTGTTGGATGACGGACGTCAGGGCCGTTTGGAGAAACCAACGGGGACCGATATTCCAAACAAATTATTGGGACACAGTCGGTAGATATTTCAAAATGAAATTAATAACGAAAGACGAGATTTTTCCAGATATTTACAAACTTACTGTCATACCAAATAAATGCAAAATTGACAAATACACAAAGAGATATTAGGTTTTACACATTAGATATATGTTATTAATTACGTAATGAAAGCACATGGTCATTCATCGCTCTGTATTGAGTAATCAAATTCTGCGTTTTGGATACCAACCTAGGTCTAAAACATTATCTATATATCTATAAAGTATATCTGATGACACGGATAACTCCAGGTACCTATATTATTACGTTTACGTCGAGATTTTTGACACTTTTGGTTGTCTCACGCGACTGAACTCTGTGACTCAAAATGGCAACGTTGCAGGACAAAGAAATCGACGCCATTCAAGACAAAGGAAATGCATTGAACCAGAACAAGAAACGTATTGTTCGTTCCACCAAAGACGATAGCTTCATGTATGATACTGGAAAAAATCAATGTGACAGTTATGAAGAAGAAGAATTCCCTCCATTGCCTCAACAACAACGCAAAGCCAGGGACCTCGTTCCGAACGAGGTTGACTGTGTTACACACTGAAGGCATGGTAAACAAGGTCAACTACATGATATAAACGACATACATGTATGCTACAGAACAACCCCAATAAGGATTATAACCTGGATAAATGCAGCGAAACAAAAGTACGATAAGTCTTTTCTAGACGATAAAAATATTAACGTGCAGTGGTCTGATATCACGGGAGGTATTCAAATGAAATGGATTGACCGTCTACGAGACGACGACTACAGCAAACAAGTCACTGTCAGTTTCTATTACAACTCCGGAGTTATATTTATTCAAGGAAAATATATTCGTCAGTGGGCAGATAGAGAATTCCAAGCTCTGAAATCGAAAATTGATAACTCGTGCTCGAAACCCGCAGTGAAAGTCGCCAATAACAAACAACCGGAAGTATGTAAACAAACAAAGCAAGATGGCGGCGTCCACTATTCATGTGATACATGTATGTCAACGACGACAGAAAATACACTAAAAGAAGTACAGACAACTCAGATTATAGGCATCCTGGCTAAAAATAACAGCCCTAATCAAAGTCCCCCGATCAACTCAGGTTCCACAGAAAGCCCGCTACTAATGAAGTCATCTTTTCTCAACAAAGCACGTAATATTATGTTGCACAAAGAATCAAGCTTCATGGACGCAATATTAGAAATAGAATCGAAATACATCAACATTAACAGCAAACTG